ATATTTAAATCTAACCCGATTTTCTTGAAACTTTACACATACCATTTTAGACCTAACTGATTAGGCTGTACCAAATTTTAAATCGGACAAATATATATATGGGAGCTATATCTAAATCTGAACCGATTTCAATAGGGTTCGTCCTTGGGCCGAATAAGTGACCTATGCCAAATTTCATCCAATTCGGATCATAAGTGCGACCTGTACTTTGTTTACAATTTAACGCGGACAGACAGACGGACGGACGGACATGCACAAATCGACTTAGAAAGTGATTCTATGCATATTTTCAAAAGGAACCATGTGTCTATCTCGTTTCCTTTTGTCTGTTACAAACATATACACGAAAACATAATACCCTGTACCGCAGTGTGGTGAAGGGTATAAAAATGATCACTGTATATAAATTACAGTTTTTGTAGGATTGGAAAGAGTTCTTATTTTGGAATTTTCCCATAATATTTTACTAATATTACTAACACTAACATAAATTGTATTCTTCCATTAAAAGTGGCATGCTTTATAGAAAAAAATAAATATTACTAACCGATCAATCAATTGCAATTAATAAAACACAACTCCCCCACAGTGTCGAACAAAAATAACTTAAAAAAAATCATATTAAAAAATATTTCAATTTTTAATAACAATTTATGAATGACATTGATTTTGGCATTTTAATACATACACCCAACAAAAAACAGACGTCATTGTACTTGCTGGAATTTAAGTCAATGTTGATTGATTAATACCTTCCGTATTCTGAATGGATTAAGTAGAAACAAAACATCAGATGAGTTGTATCTCCATCTCCTTCAAACATTTGGTTGAATTTATTACTTGTAAATTCCAAAAATTCCCCATATTAAATGAGAAGCATTTATATTTAATACAAAGGCAACTTTCATCTAATTAAATGTGCAAATATTTGTGAAAAATTAAATTCCAACAATATGACATAGTCAAGAAAATATTTGACATTTTGATGATGCTCAGAGTTACATTTATGGAGATGATGATATCTCAGATGACAATGGCTAATTAAAGTTAATATTCTTCGTTATAGAGGTAGGTGTTTTTTATGTTGTTGTATTGAATCACTATATCGTTTAATATCGATTTATAGAAAGTCAAACCACAATTTGCTAAACAATCACTGAGAAAGCCAAATATGACTTTTTTTATTAAATATGCAAATGAATGCAAATTTCTCCATATTTCTTGATCTCAACACATAAGGTAAAAATAATAAAATTGAATTGCCTAAAATTCCATTAATATTAGCACAGCCAATATTCATCTCTTAATTTTAAGTAAATTCTTCATTTGGCCAAAAATCTGAATAATCCAAGCGATTATAAACGTCATACGGTTGTTTATTCATTTTGAACTAATAAATTAATTCATGACACACACCATTATCTTGTGAGACCGTTGAATTTGATATATACACGACATACCACCCTTTCATGGGTTTGATTATATTGACCAGCATGTGTTAATTAATATGTGGGTATTTTGTATTCAAATTTTTTGTTGTCTATTGTAATTCCCATAAATAACTGGTTTTCGCCCAGTTTAGCACACGTTTGTTGGTATTTTCAATTTAATACTTTGTTTTATTAAACCAAAAAGTTATGTTAAGCTGATTTGACAGCTTGTCAAAAACTTTGTTATAGAATTTTTTTTAAACCGTTTTTTTTGCTGTATTTAATCTTTGCGATATTTATAGTTGAACGATTAATAATGTTGGCATATTGAAATTGATGATAAGAATAATTTGATGAGATCAAAACAAAAATATTTAGGTGAGAATGAGAGAAGATTTAGAGTATTCAATTTCAACTACAGTGGTCGGCACATTTATTTTAGTGAAATATTTATTTTAGCGGCATATGTGTTAAAGTGAAATAAGAAAAAATAAAATTGAAATTGTGGAAATTCAGTAATTGCTAACAATTTGTAAATAGTATACGATAAAAATAAAATTCCAATTAAGGGGACCCCCCCTTCTCGGGGTCAAAAATTTTGTTGATATAATTCGAATCTACACTAATTAAAGAATGTCCCTACAAAATTTCAAATGAAAATCTCAAGAACTCTTGAAGATATAGCCGATTTATTGTGTCAGCATCAAGTGACGGCTGAAGGGCTTCTCAAACTTTAAACGCGTTTTTCTCTAAACATTTTTTTGCGAATGGCGGGCACGATAACTCAAAAACTAATAACCCAATCGATTTCAAATTTTTACACTTTTCTCTGTGAGTGTATAGCTTTCGTATGAACTAGGATAAAGCCAATCGGTGAAGATCTTCCTTATATTTTGACTTGGGCTTTGGTAAAATATCTCCGATTTTCCAAAAATATTTTTTCAAAGGTCCACCATTTTGTTATTTTTAGAGCGAAGTCAATAATCCTAGTTCATACGAGAGCCAGACATGTACTCTTTCCAACACCGTTGGAATTTTCGGATTCCGATGTTCCAGTGAGGAGTTATCATGCCCGCCATCAAAAATAAGGACTTTTCTTTAATTACAAAAAACAACAACAAAACAATAACAAAATTTTTTTGTAAATTATTTTTCTTCTATTTTAAATCTTCCGTTACATATGTGTAAAGTTACAAACCTTAACAAGCATTGGTATTGATTTACCAGCCCATTGAAAATCTTGAAAAATTAAAATCGAGAATGGGTGGGGTTCCCTTAAGAGACACTCAGAAGAAAGGAAAAATTTATAAAATCCGAAGAAGGTAGGACCAAAAGCTTCAAAATAGCAAATATTAAAGGGTACCGTTCAATGTGAATTCCAAATGTCAGATTAAATTCGATTCGGGTTAAAATCGTATCACAAATCTCCACAATAAATTCGCATTCTGGATATTTGGGTGGAAAAACAGTACCATGTAGAAAAGTATCAATATAGATTTACATTTTTATCTAACCCGTAGTTGGCCCCATTCTAAGCACTTTTATGGTCTAAGGTTCATTTTACAAGCAATATAACGGTTCTTTTGTCGGTAATTGTTCTACATAGATCAATGTTTTTACATGCATCTGTGCAGAAAATTTTCCCTATAGATCCATGTTTTGACATGGCCGTCCGCCCATTTTGTGAGTATTTTGATGGTTTTAGCTGCATTTTGATGAGGCATTTTGGAAAAGCAAATACATATCGTTTCATGGTCCTAATTTGGAGGCTGATATACTTCTATGCAGTTAATAATCTATATAGAACTAAATATTGATATGGGACCTCTGCCCGATATTTTTAAGGGTTTAGAGGCATTTTTCCACCGTTGTCTGAATATTTATATTCCATATTCCTGGTGATTTCAATATAGGACCTTCTTTTTGTTTTTACACCCTCTATGTTGTCAGGGTATTATAGCTATGTGCAGCCCCAAGAGTTTGTAAAGCCGCGAAATATTGGTTCTAGGCCCACCTTTAATTATACCGATCGTAATATCTCAACTGGACGAGTCGACCTAGACATGTGTGTCCGTTCGTCCGCCCGTCTGTGCATTATAATTTGTAAACACGATAAAGACCCCAGTTATACCAATCACCATGAATGTAGGATCGGTGTTGGTCCAAGAAGACCCCTATGGTTTTTGGTAATGATCGGTTAATTGTAAATTTGTCTGTTTTTCTGATCGCTCTAGAGGGCACAATTATCACCCGAACATCACGAAATTTTGCATGGATCAGGCAAACCAATAAACGTAAATAACTCTTGTATGAAAATTGGCAAAGTTTACATAATATGGGGTATATTATTACTCATGAAGAACACGCCTAAAGGATAGGTGTTAATCAGATGATATTCAGGGGATTAAACTGTATCTTTTTCTGGTCGCTCTAGGGCCACAATTATAAGTCGAACTAATTAGAAAGGCTGTTTTGATAATATTCAGTAATATTCGGAAAATATGCCAGGACAAGAAAGATGAGCTTATGACCACTTATCTATCAAGAGGGTGCGAATATATTCAGGCTCAGAATATTGATCCAAAGAAAGTTAGTTAGCGGTAATTGGGTCGGGTATCATATGATCGGCCATAGCCGCTCACTGTTTTTTAAATAAATATATATCCTTTTCTTCGCTTCAAACATTTTTTTGAATTTTTGACAGTAGCTTACGAAGAAGTTGCATTCATCACTTTTACTTATTTATTCAGGTTACTGACTCTCCTTTTACAAAAACTTTAATACTGTGCACATTTTTTACATTTTACATAAATTAGGGAACGTCGTGTGTTCTTAAATTGTCGTACCTCAAAATTTTAATTGCTTGTAATGAGTTTGTGCGAAAAAAATCAAATTTCTGGGTGTGATGAAACAAATGTTGTGTATGACAAAATATACAATATTTTTGGGCTTAACATTTCATCATAATAAGACAACCTCATTATTGTCTCACATGTCTTCAGTACGATAATCAAATTATATTCTGTAATTAATTCATAACAAATGTCATAAATATAATTTGGAAAATACATGCTTCGGGAGTTTGTTGACATAATATTTTAATGAATACATTGAATTTGATTTTTAAAAAATGTTTCACGAAATCTTTGTTCGATTTTATATTTCCCACTACTAAGTCGTCAGTCAGTCAACAAATATTTTATTTAGAATCACGTAAGTGTGAAAATATTGATTTAGTTTTTAAATATATTAGACATATTTACAAAGTTGAATGTTTCCTCATTTAACCTGAAAAAATCGGTTTGTAGTTATTTTTTACTGATTTTCAAGTTTAACCTATTCCAAATATAAGCAAATAATAAACCAAAAACGATTTAAAATTATTTACAACAAATAAACCATAAATTAAAAAGCCTATTGAAAAAACAAAACATCTTTGTAAATTACCTTATTAGGCTACCACATTTGATTTAGTTGTCCAACCCCCCACACACAAAATTTTTTTTTTGAATTGCCTTGTAAGATCTTAAAAATAAAAAAATAACCGGATTTCTTGTTCATACTGTCATCATGATTGTATGTCAACATTTGTGCCTCAACAGTAGTCTTGTAAGTCATTTATTATCTATTGTCTTACATTAGATTTAGAGCAATGACTGGATATTTACAATTAAAACAAAGAAAAAATAAAGAATGACAAAAGCTATGTAATCTTGTCAAAGCATGACTTTAACTACAATTGATGAGTCAACAAAAATTTATCAATATTGTTTTAATTTTGTTTTTCAATTTCAATGTCATTGAATATAGAATACTTTTGCTTTTAATCAGCAAAAATAAAAATTATGGCTATTGTTTTGTTTTTAATTTGTTTTTATCTTGACATTATTACGCTTTCTTGGGAGTTAATTGATTTAGGGTTCCTGTTTATTGCAGTGATTGGATTTCTCATCGGTTGCTTTGTTTTTGTCTTTTTTTTCTTTTCTGAGATATATATTTTGTGTGCCCAATATGGCATGACACGACTTGTTTATAGATTACGACTAAAATAAATTAGATTGTCGTGGTTTTTAATGGAGGGTATTGATTTTATTGTCTTTTTTGTCAACATTTGATGTTGGTTGTGGATTTTGTTTTTGAAAAAAAAAAATCATAACGCCAATCCAATAATTGCTAATTACTCAATTTATAAAACAATTGCATTCCATATGCACCAAAATAATTGAAATCAATTTATAATTATAGCGATTCGTTAGGGTGCAATAGAATGGTGGACCAATTAAATCAAAAGACTTAAGACACAAACTTGTTGCTGTAAATTCATATTTTATTACCTATTCATTATCAAATTGTCCGATGAAATTTAATAAATTTTAATTTGTCTTTATTTTTAATCGCTTTTAAATGGCCTGGTTTAAAAAGTCTTAATATTTATCGCAAATGTGGGACACGTTTCTTCAATATTTGAATATAAATAAGCATATGTGGTTGATCCCAGAGCAAAAAGATTTATGTACATTTGTATAACAATGAACGAGGTCTAATAAAATGAACCATTTATTTATTCATCTTTATGCCATCCTTTATTATTTAATCCTAAAAATACTTATGAAACGCTCTTTTTGGAGTAGCCGTAAGCTACTGCTTTCCGAAGAAAGGAAAACAGACCGCTTTCCTTTCCTCGGTGTTTCGGTAAGAGGAAAAAGTCAGCAAGTTTATAAAAATTGATATTTTGGACAAAAATTCACACAAAAGCATCGGTGCGTGAGCTGGTGCGTTATCAAATTCACAAATGACCGAGCTTAACCTGATTTTGATTCTTCAAAATCACATACAGCAGAGTTATATCCCTTGTAAAAATAGGCAATTACCGCACAAATACCTAAAATATGTTTTTATCCACTAAAAGGAGGTTGATATTTTATTAACATATTTATAATACAAATGTGGGCTATTTCAAAACATGGTTCATCTAGAAAATGTTCGGCCAAAAATCAATAAAAACGAACAAGGAAAATAGTAAAGTCGGATGGGGTCGACTATATGATTCACTTTACCACTTTCGCTATATTCAAGAGATGCATCCTAACAGACCTCGCATTATTTAGGGCAACCTTTAATTCTTTGGTGCACAATTTGCTCAAATTGGAAATCTGAACCGATTTCAATAAAACTTGGAAAACTTTAGGCTATCATAACTTCAGTTTGTTGTGCTAAAATTCATGCCAATCGGACTAAATGTGACTCTTTGGTGTCCCATTTGCTAATAATCGGACGAAAATATATATAGGAGCTATATCTAAATCTGAACCGATTTCAATAAAACTTTGCAAAGGTTAGGCCACCCTAACATCAATACGTTTTGCAAAATGTTTATGCCAATCGGCCTAAATTTGACTCTTTAGTGCCTCATTTGCTAAAAGTCGGACGAAAATGTACATGGGAGCTATATCTAAATCTGAACCGATTTCAATAAAATTTGGCACACGTTAGGCTACACCAACTTCAGTACGTTGTGCAAAATTTTGTGCCAATCGGACTAAATTTGACTCTTTGGTGCAAAATTTACTAAATATCGGACGAAAATATATATGGGACCTATATCTAAATCTGAACCGATTTTTCCCAATTTCAATAGGGTTCGTCCCTGGCCCAAAGCTGAGCTTTGCCAAATTTCATTCAATTCGGATAATAAATGCGACGTGCACTTTGTTTACAATTTAACATGAATTGACACCTTTTGCCTGTTATGTACATATGCACAAAGACATATGCATCACAGTGTGGTAAAAGGTATAAAAAGGAAATGTCAAAGTACAGCGAAATATGTTGACAAATTCGACTAGGATAAAACATTAAGGCCCTTTAGTTAGGCAATCGAAATACCTAAAATAGGGGACACCCTTATAATTTACTGCTGGGAAAATATGATCTTATATTGAAAATATATTGAGAAGAAATGTTTTACTCACCAACAGCAGAATGTCAAATTAAAGCCATTTCGTTTGGAAAACCCCTCAAAAACCATGAAAATGCCGAAAATGTGGCAGGGCGTTTATATGGATGATTTGTCAAAAAATTTACACATATAGAATAATTTCTGACAATAGGAAATAGGAATATACTTAAAAATAGAATAGGCCATAAAAATGCATAAAGCGTTTAAAACAGGCAGACCTGGCAAAATTTACTTCGAATTTTACTCTAATCAACACTATGTGGGTTTCCGATTATTATTTCCATATTGTGGAGGCACAACGAAACATAAATACAGACCACCATTCTGATATGCTATAATCTTAAAAAAAGGGTTGTCACTCTCTCTAAAACTAAATTATTTTTTGCATCTTTTCCTTCTGAAATTGTACTAATCTATTAGTAAGAAGTACCATGGAGTCAAGATTCCATTCCATTTATATAAAATATTTACTTCCTATATCATTTATTACATTTTAAATATCATATATATTTCTATAATTAATCTAAATTTTCCAGAGCCATCATACTTCCTCTTAAAATTAACAAATTTCTTAGTAAATTGTGAAAATACAAAATAAAAAACCCAAAACCTTTTGTTTTTGTTTTGGAATTTTGGTAGCGGGTGGGGAGAAGCCAAAGGTTTAATGTCTGAGTCACGCAAACAGTGTGAATGCGTGTTACCCATCATCGGTCAGCATCAGCGTTTTAAATTATAACACAAAACAGTTATGTTAATTATATTATTAACTAAGACATTAAATGAGTCGTTTATTTTGAAAGCGGCTTAAGTCCATTTTAGATTTTAATACAAATCATGGATGTTTTCTAACATGTTTAAGGGCACAAAATTAACACCACTTAACAAAACTTTTGAAGCAACTCAAACACAAACCCTTAAAAGTCTCAATATAAGAAAAAACGGACTTACACCACTTTCAAAATAAACGACTCAAATATCAACACAGACACACAAATTTACTCGGCAATTTTTATTAGCATGTGTCATAAAAATTACCCAATTAAAATGTGTAAATAAAATACACGCAAAAAACAAAATACTAAAAACAAATCACAATAAAATTTATACTCCACAACACATATGTTTTTGAGACATATATTTTTGGTTGACAATATCCGCTTTACAATTTATTTTAATATTCGTCAAAACAACATCAACAAAATCTGGAAGTGGAAAGAACAACAAAAATGACTCCCATAACTTATTATCTGTCGTGTAGGCTAACATTTCCTTATATGTGTGTATATGAAGATATGTTAATTATTTATTGCCATAAGAATATTAAAATGTATTTTAATATCATGAAGTGGAGTGTTAATACACACTCCACTCCTCATTTCGGTTGTAAACGTCGAAATATTCGTCGGAGATTCCATAAAGTATATATGAGTTGTTTATTTTAAATGTGGTTTAAGCCCATTTTAGGTTCTGATACAAATTTCGGTTTTCGAGAAAAGTTTACAAAACAAAATACGTTATATATTCTATAATGTTTAAGCTCACAATGCCACAAACAAAATGAATACTACTTGACAATATTTGTGTAACAAATCAAACCAAAACCATTTCGACGCCTCCGAACCATAGTATGCTAAGTCTGAAAAGTGAGTTTTTCAGTAGAAGCTTTCAAAGTATGGAAGTTTCTTTAATCGTACGTGTCATGCTAAGTACATTTTTGCTTATAACTTTGGTTTGGATTGGCCGATGATTACCAAAATTTCAGAGATTATAAATTAAGGACCGTAGTATCTAAAAACATAAAGAACTTTTAAACATGCTAAGTCGACTTATGGTTCGGAGGCGTCAATTTAATATCTCAATATAAGAAAATATTAACTTAAACCACTTTCAAAATAAACTACTCATATTTTCGTGATCAGAATGTTGTACGCATATTTATACTACTTCTAGGATGTTTGGTATTGAAATGGGATATATCGATCTAGGTTTTTATATAGCTTCCATATCACGAAACCGCCTCATTTTCGGTATATAAAAGGTTTAAATCATGTTTGTAATTCGGAAGTATTGTCATTTGGCATTACATGATTTTGGGGGCTGACGTATAAATCTCTATGATGAAAATAATCAATTAAGGACCAAGTTATGAAATAGCATCCATATGAAGGTTTGAAGCCTTTTCTCCCCTTTTCCTCATTTCGGAATTCTGAAGGCTAATATAAATCTATGCAAAAAATTATCTATATGATAATAATGAAAATAACATTTTAACAAAGCACCCATACAACGTTATTACCGCGTTGGCATTTCGAGTTTTTGGAGACTGACAACCCCCATTGCAGAAAAAGATCCAAATAGGTACATGCTTTGGCGTTACCCCCATATGAGACTGACGATCATTTCCAGTTTTTTGGATAATTATTTAGATATAGATCCATATTATGAAATAGCCCCACATAAAGATCCACGTCCGATTTTTATACCCTTAACTACACTGTGCTAAAGGGTATTATGTCTTTGTGCATATGTTTGGAACAGGCAAGAGGAAACGACATAGACAGATGGTTCCTTTTGAGAAGATGCATAGAATCACTTTCTGAGTCGATTTACGCATGTCCGTCTGTCCTTCCGTCCGTCCATGTATTTTTGTGAACAAAGTACAGGTCGCATTTATCATCCGATTTCGATGACATTTGACAAAGGTCACTTATTTGGTCTGAGGACGAACCCTATTGAAATTGGGACATATCGGAAAATTTCGATTTCCACGAAATTTGGCACAGCGTAATGAATTAGTTATAGAATGATGTGTGTTAAGTTTGCTGAAAATCGGTTCAGATTTAGATATAGCCCCCATATATATTTTCGTCCTATTAAATGTAAATGGTGCACCAAAGTCCTTGTATATCTTTCGATTTCCGCGAAATTTGGCACAATGTAATGAACTAGGTCTAGAATGATGTTTGTCAAGTTTACTGAAATTCGGTTCAGATTTTGATATAGCTCCCATATATATATTTTTGTCCGATTTAATGTAAATGGTGCACCAAAGTCCCTTAATATCTTTCGGTTGAATATACCCAAAGTTATGAAGGGTATCATATAGTCGGCCCCGTCCGACTTTACTACTTTCCTGGTTAGTAGTATTAAAGTTGAATTTCTCCATATAAATTGTTGTAATCTGGTGTTCTAAGTTCTTGTATAGTAAACAAATATATTTGGCAAGAGTAAGAGTGATTTTTAAGATCTGTAGGAAATTTTGGATAGCATACATAACATTCCATAGTATTCCCCATGCAATTTAATAATACAAGATTATTTAATGTAGATGTTGACATCGGCTGCGCCTCAAATGATCCATACGCTTAGACAAATTTTTTTATATATTCCAAGTGCCAATTCACCAAAAGTTCTTTGTTGGGGCAGGTCGTAGCTTCAATTCTAAACTCTTCACACCTAAATCTTTCAATAAAGTTTTCGACGGTGTTGAGTTGCAGAGACCCAATTCCTTCGAACGGCGACGATTCGATATTGGATGATCAGCAGAAAAACATCCAAAAAATCTTCTTTTTCTTCCTTACATTTGCATGATCCCAAAGATCACGCAGCCTGAGTGTCCATAATGTTCTTGCATGTTCTTGTTTTATATTCCCATCGTATGGAGGCTTAATTTTCTGTATGTTGATGTTCCTAGACCTGTTACTCTACTTGAGTGTTGGTAATTTGTTCAGATTAGAAAGAAAAAAACTTCTAGATGATTATTTACAATTACATAGTCGTCATAGAAGGTTTCCACCGATTTATGGAATTATCAATGTACCTGTTTCGGATTTATGGGTTCTTATTTCAAAATTGCATGAACTATGCGTAAGATCGGACATACATTTCGTGTACTTATTACATTTTGAATAATTAAATTTAATGAGATTACATTTTTCACGTATTGAAGATGTCATAAAATGTTTGTGCTTGTTTCTTAAATCTTTTGTTTTTCAATAGTTTTTTTATTTAATTTTTTCCATTTTTCATTAACAGATTCTTAACAATTTAGTAAAAAAACTTCTAAAAATGTATAATCAATTCTAAAAAAAAATAAATTAATATTTACATAATTTTCCTTAGAACGTAACATAAACCGCGTGTTTCTGTCTTAAGTCTTTTGTTTTCGACAATTATTTTAATTATAATATTTTTACTAACTCATCATAATTGCACACACATAACCCGTACAATTTACAAGAATATTAAGAATTCATGAATAATTTATGAATATTTAAAGAAAAACCAGCAAATACTTTTCTTTGCCAAATTTATAATTACAAACACCCCCATTGACTAAATATGATAGGCTCATATTTAGTCACACACCAGCCAACAGTTGCTGCAATAAAATCATGTGGGTACTAATTTATACAAATTCATGCAAAACAGAAATTAACAAAACATAAGCGAATGTCAGTACAACTTATGGCCTGTGATGTGTATATTCACAAGCATAGGTGATGAAAATGAAAAAATAAAAAAAAAATTTCAAAAATAAAGCAAGTCATGAAACACCCACAACAAAATTTTCCAAACGGAATAACATCCAAACATAAAACAATAACACACTTTACGGCACAACAGCGTCACTTCAAGGTATTGCCATTGTTCTGTAACGTGGCAAAGAACACCTGTCAGCCGACAAAAACCGGCAAAATACGCACAGAACTTCATGCGTTGCTGTTAGCACAAAAAAAAAATACAAATATCGAAGGAAAATGTCTGTTGAAAACATAAATATAATGGAGCTGTACAACATGAACCAGTTTTGAAATTTTACTTGTGAAGTTTGTCACTTATAAGCAAATTGAGTCAGTTCAGCTGTGTTGGTTATTATTTTTCCCGCCATTGTATCACCATTAGTACACACAGACCTTGAGATTATGGCATAATGTGTGGAAATAAAACAAACAACCAAAAAATAAAATATTTTGCAAACTAAACAATGACAAATATCATTTGTTATAAATATTTGAAATTATGATATGTTATGAATTCGAACGAATTGTTTTTGGGAACCAGATTTGAATCCAATGTTATCATAGACAAAATTTTGGCCTGTATTTAGAATGTCATGTCTGTCATCTGACAGACCTAGCAATTTTGTTGGGCCATTTACTGGAAATATGGACACGTTAGCTGTACAATGGACATCAAAACATTTACACACATTTAAAATTTTCTGTCAGATGTTTTCAATTTTTGGAGAAACCATACACATGGGTTGAAAAATTTGCCGAGAATCGGCTAAGTCGGCTAAGGCTAAGGATTATGGCAAAACATTTTCTGTCCTATTTTTTTGTTTTTTGTTCTGTTTTGAGAAGCTAACACATGAGTTCGTAGCTGGGCCTACATAAAGTTAGGGGCTATGTCACAACATTGACTGTACTGGAAAATATTTTTTAAAATTTTTACTAGGAAGTTTTTACTCTAAAAATTCCATTTGAAATACAGCTAAAACCTAATAAATGCCGAAAATAGGGCGAGAGCCATATCAAAATTAGAACCCCTGTTGAGAATCGTGGGGAGAATACCGAAAATCGATTCATTGTTATATGGGGGCTATACCAAACCATATACAAAACCAGGGTATCATATGGTCGGCCCCGTCCGAAACTCAAATTTTCTACGGATGTTTAATTCGAGCCTGGGCAATATTTCGTGATATTTGCACCCTCTTGCCCGATTTGAGGTGAACAGCACCTCTTCCTCACACTGACATATTTTCTGAATATTACGAGTATTCAGTACAGCTATTGTCCAGATTCCCTTCACCGTGGGTTGTGTTGTGATGTTCGGCTTTCATTTGTGGTCTATAGATCGCCTCGAAAATAACACAAAAAATTATGTTTTCGGTCCACTTCATTCCAAAATTATTATCTGATCATCACCGCAAATTATAGGCGTAATGTGTAACTCCCACATCCGAGCACATACAACAATATAATTGATATTAATTTAAAGGTCAACCACTCCTCTTGGATATAATATCAACTTCTCGCGTCTATGTCATTCAGGGGTAAATCTATACGCTATAGAATACAAATCTTGTCATTTTTCACACAAAAGTCAGGGTCCATTTGACCCGCTAAATATTGGCCGGTCTTTTTCAAAACAGGCATGCTTATTCTTTGGATTCCCTTCTCCATGCAAAGTTTCACGATGTTCGGGCCATTATTGCGATGTTCTGGAGCGACCAGAAAAACCTACAAAAATTTAGTATTTGGTCCATTTTATCCCCTAAATATTAACCGATCTTTCCCAAAAACAATAGGGGTCTTCATTGGCCAGAACCCATCCTATACGCAAAATTCCGTGAAGATTGGTCCATAACTGTGGCCTGTATCGTGTTTACACACGGACGGACACACACATGTCTAGATCGACTCAGCTAGTCGAGATATGACGATCGGTATACTTAAAGGTGGGTCTAGGACCAATATTTCGCGGCGTTACAAACTCTTGCGGCTGCACAAAGCTATAATACCCTGACAACATAGTTGTGTAGGGTATAAAAATTCTTTGGGTAGTAAGAAATTTTAAAGAGGCTTTATTGTGATTTCTATTGAGAAATGCCCATGTCTAATTTGGCATAGAAATTTATTCTGATTTCTCATAATTTATGGGGTCTTTCACGAAAAATTCAATAAAGGTTTAAGGAATTTCTAAAAGAAGTCTTGAAGATCGAAGAGGTGTACAAGACATACACATTCGACCGAAGAGTCTATGTACCACTTATATCACAGCTTTTGATTCCTCTGCCTATATGCAACTAAACCTTAGAGCATGTTTCCCCTAAACACAAATAGTCTACCTCCCTGATGAGTAAGTCACAAAAATGTTGTTATAATATGCCATATTACTGATTTTAATACCCTGTGAGACTAAACCGAATAGGCTAAAGGCGAACATGAAAATATTATACTTAGAGCGTGAATATCACAAAAGACAAAAACAATACAAAACTAAACCTCAGCAGACATAACTTTGCGGTCAGTCATCATTATAGGTGCATAAGTCAAATAAAATGAATATCCGGTACAAAAACAAAACAAACAACTGACCATAAGATGTAGACAAGAAAACAAAATAAATAACAACAACGTTTGTATATATTTTTTTTCCTCATTCATTGTATCAGACATTGAGTGCATGTGCCACACTTTTTATGTCAAAATCGAAAAGTTCAATGTATGAAAAAACAACGGGAAAAACCACTAAAGGTTGCAATGATCTAAAAGCGAGAGAAGAAAAACTAAACAACATAAAAATATGTTATGTTAATTTTTCATCTAAAATCATCACAAATCATTATTCAAATTTATTCATAATTTTTTTGTTTTTTTTTTCTTATTTTTTCAGAAATTGTTTGTTGTTCCTTTGTTGCTGCTGGGCGTAAGCTGTTTAAGTACCGCCCAAAATATACCAAATGGTTATTATGGTCCTGTCTCAAACTACTTGGTAGCCGATACCAAGCAAGGCTATACCTATCCCACACCAGATATACCATTCAATGAAATCACCACCAGTAAACCCAGTCCACCACCAAGCAAATCTGGTTATATCTACCCAACTCCGGCCAATAAACTGACATTGCCCACAAAATCACCATATAATCCTCCAACAAAACCCGCCAAACAAGGCTATACCTATCCCACACCAGCTATACCATTCAATGAAATCACCACCAGAAAACCCAGTCCACCACCAAGCAAATCAGGTTATACCTATCCCACACCAGCTATACCATTCAATGAAATCACCACCAGAAAACCCAGTCCACCACCAAGCAAATCAGGTTATACCTATCCCACACCAGCCAAACCATTCAATGAAATCACCACCAGAAAACCCAGTCCACCACCAAGCAAATCAGGTTATACCTATCCCACACCAGCTATACCATTCAATGAAATCACCACCAGAAAACCCAGTCCACCACCAAGCAAATCAGGTTATACCTATCCCACACCAGCTATACCATTCAATGAAATCACCACCAGAAAACCCAGTCCACCACCAAGCAAATCAGGTTATACCTATCCCACACCAGCTATACCATTCAATGAAATCACCACCAGAAAACCCAGTCCACCACCAAGCAAATCAGGTTATACCTATCCCACACCAGCTATACCATTCAATGAAATCACCACCAGAAAACCCAGTCCACCACCAAGCAAATCAGGTTATACCTATCCCACACCAGCTATACCATTCAATGAAATCACCACCAGAAAACCCAGTCCACCACCAAGCAAATCTGGTTATATCTACCCAACTCCCGCCAACAAAATTAAATTGCCCACAAAATCACCAAAATCCACCAAGCAAGGCTATACCTATCCCACACCAGCTATACCATTCAATGAAATCACCACCAGAAAACCCAGTCCACCACCAAGCAAATCAGGTTATACCTATCCCACACCAGCTATACCATTCAATGAAATCACCACCAGAAAACCCAGTCCACCACCAAGCAAATCAGGTTATACCTATCCCACACCAGCTATACCATTCAATGAAATCACCACCAGAAAACCCAGTCCACCACCAAGCAAATCTGGTTATATCTACCCAACTCCCGCCAACAAAATTAAATTGCCCACAAAATCGCCAAAATCCACCAAGCAAGGCTATACCTATCCAACACCTGCTGTACCATTCGATGAAACCACCAAAAGTCCTCCCACAAAAGGTGGTTACTCGTATCCCCGACCTGCCGTACCGTTCTATTTCTAAATCCACTGCCGAGGAGAAACGATCAGGACCACATTAAAAACTTGTGATTATTTAGCCAATTAAGTTGGATGCTCGAATTAATTGGTTAAAACTGTAATTCAAACTTAGTTTAAGGTTTTGTTATTTGTTTACCTAACCATTAGTGTTGTACAATATTTGGCGAGTATCGTTTTTATCCTTTGCTCGAATATTGGAAACGAACCAGCAGTAATACTCGTAGAACACTTGAACGAATAAATGAAAAAGAAAATAGTCATTAAATATAAATTAATTAATAAATTAAATTAAATTACAAACAAATATTTTGCTAAAGTTAGCTATAGATATTGAAATGTTTGAAGTTGTGTTCGATATGTTTTTTTTTAGAACGTAAATGAATTACAAAAAAATTGACTCATTTCACATGTAAGCTAAGTTTAGTTCCTAAGACGAAAACGAATAAATGCATTTTTTTTTTTAATTTTTGATTTATTTATTTGTGGGAAAGGGTAATAAAAATCTGGCGAGTAAATTGGGTCTAATGTTTGAACCAATACGACTACTTAATATATGTTTGTCATAATTAGAAAAAAATGCGAATATTTAGCATTAAAAATGGTTTTATTGCCTTTAAAAATATTCTCCAGTCTGATTTATTCATTTTTCGTGCGAATCACTCTGATTGGACCTCTGTAAAACATTGGACATCTTCGGCAGCATCTATGGGCAATAAAAATCGTCGATGGCGGATTTTCTTCTTGATGTGTGGAAATAAAAATAATTCATTGGGTTCCAAGTCAGAGCTGTGTGGCGAATTGACAATCAATTTCACTTTTTGATTCTCCAAATAGGCTTTATTTTGAGAAATTGTGTAAGAGCTCGCGTTGTCAGGATATGAAATGATTCGTCTTATGTTGTCCCTTTTTTATACCCTTCACCATAGTATGGAGGGTATATTAATTTTGTTTTTCCGTTTTTAACACATCGAGATAATCATTTCCGATCCTATAAAGTATATATATATACTTGATCAGCGTAAAATTCTATGACGATATAGCCATGTCCGACTGTCCGTCTGTCTGTTTTAATCACTCTAGCGTCTAAACGAATGGAGATAGATCGCCAAAATTTTGCATAGAGTCGTCTTTTGTCTGCAGGCAGGTCAAGTTCGAAGATGGGCTTTATCGGTCCACGTTTAGGCATAGCTCCCATGTAAGGGTACACCCAAATTTTCGGTATTTTGGGGTTCTTGAGTGCGTTTTTCAACCGAATTCGCTGAAATTTGCTACATTGGGTTCTTATTGGGTACTTAATATCTCCACAAAAAATTATAAATATAGGTCCACTTTTTCTGGTAGCCCCCATATAACGGTACCACCTATTCGCAGTATTTTGGGGGGTTTTGCTCGTATTTTTCCGCCGAATTAACTGTAATTTAGTGTTTTGAGTTCTTAATAGGTACAAAATATCTCCACAAAAAATTATGAATATAGGTCCATATTTTCGGATAGCCCCCAATTTTCGGTATTTTAGGATTCTTGAGCGCGTTTTTCAATCGAATTCGCTGCAATTTGGTATTTTATGGTAACATAAACAAATCTCCCTACCAAAAATTATGAATATTCGCCCCCTTTTTGGGGTAGTCCCCATATAACCCCATTTTTTATATTAAAATAGTTATCTGATTTGTTCCGCGATTTGAATTTGGTTCTAAGACTCTGTTGTAATCATTTCACCTGTGGAGGATAGCAAGATTAAAAATTAGAACGTAAGGCTCGATTATGAACTATAGCCGCATTTATATCTAGCCCCTGTGTGGAGGTACCAGAAGGAGTGAACCGATATTCCCCATCTACGAATTTGAACTAAGTTTGGAAGAAATTATAAGATGGGCAAAGTTTGGATGAAATCTAAATTTTCTGAAACGGATTTTGTCCAAAGAAACATGGGGTCTAGAACCAACATTTGTATTATGGTTTACATAATCCACTTTTTGGTATGTTCCCTATATTTTCATTTCTAGTACCTGTCAGTATATCTATGGTGGAGGGTATCCAAAGTTCGGCCCGGCCGAACTTAACGCTTTTTCACTTGTTTTTTTAATTTAGACTTAGACTTCGGGAAAACAAATTATAGTGAGTCACTCAAAATTGACCTTCTGAACATCTAAACCCTTTAACAATTTAAAAATAAAAATAACTTAAGAATATTGGAATCCATTCCGCATGTTATGCAGGACATACTGTTTATTCACGAGGAGTCTATAGAGAGACCTATATCCTCTGGGGATCCCGGTGGGAAAATGCGATTGAAACCTTCAAAATTCCGAAAATATAGTGGGAACTATACTTGGGGACTATGCCAGAACATGGACCTATAATGCTCCAAAATATATTTTGCACACGCCAAGAACCTGGAATGTCAAATCAACGCCGCAATGACGAAATTGGATCGGGGTTTTTATATAGAGATGCTTAGAGTGCTTGGGTGCCTACCTTGTGTTCTTACCCTAAGTTGTTATAAACACCAGTCATTACAAAGCGTCAACCAACGTCCCCATACAAAAGTACAGGTATCTATCGATTACACGTATTTGGACACAATCACCTCCTTGTAAGAGAATCGGAGCCCATCTAAAACTCCTGCCTACCTATGGGGCGATTTGGGAGTAAACCAACTCAAGAACGATGCTATTCAAAGGTCCAACACCAACATACCAGGCTAGAAAACCTTCAGTCAGGTTTATAGCTGAAGATATTTCCGGTAGAACTACAAACTGATCGGGACTCATCACCCATAGACTATAGCCTTTGCCCGGCTTCTTAGCCAAAACAAATACGATTAGAACTAATATTTACATGCTCTCTACAATGGAACAATTATGCATTACATCTATTGCCTGCTTTTTCGGGAATGGTCCCCATCAGACTACTACCATTTGAACTAATAGCTGTAAGCTTTCCACAATGGAGCAACTATTGTCAATTTCGTCAGGTTCATAGTCTAAGCTATTTCCAGTAGAACTTCAGTTTGGGAGTGGTTCTCGACATAGTATAGACTCTGCCGGTTTAATAGCCGAAACTACTACCATCAGAACTAATATTTGTAGGCTCTCTATAATGGAAAAATAGTGATAACCAGCAGAAGTGACCCTCAAGAGAATTTCTAGCCACCACGCATTAAATCTATTGCCTGCATGTTCAGGAATGGTCCCCATCAGACAACTACCATTTGAACAAATAGCTATAAGCTTTCCGCAATGGAGGAACTATTATCATTGTAATCAGGTTCATAGTCTAAGCTATTTCCAATAAAACTTCAGTTTGGGAGTGGTTATCGACATAATATAGACTCTACCGGCTTAATAGCCGAAACTACTACCATCAGAACTAATATTTGTAGGCTCTCTACAGTGGAAAAACAGTGATAACCAGCAGAAGTGAACCTCAACAGAATTTCTAGCCACCACGCATTAAATCTATTGCCTGCCTGTTCGGGAATGGTCCCCATCAGACTGCTACCATTTGAACTAATAGCTGTAAGCTTGCCACAATGGGTTCATAGTTCATAGTCTAAGCTATTTCCAATAGAACTTCAGTTTGGGAGTGGTTATCGACATAGTATAGACTCTGCCGGCTTAATAGCCGAAACTACTACCATTAGAACTAATATTTGTAGGCTCCCTGCAATAGAACAATCGATGAACATAGACAAAAAACTGAAGTGACCACCAACATCTTTCTGTATTGGAGCATGATGGTTTCCATTACACCAATTGCTACATAAGCCTTCTTCTTCGGGAAAAGTCCCCACCGGACTAGCCTCTGCACGCTTTCGTAGCCAAAACTACCACTACCATTATAACTAATAGCTGCAGTCTCTCCACAATGGAGCAACCGCTAAATTAAGATGAAAAGCAGATGCAAAAACCTGTAATAGCACAAATTTCCTCCGGTTGCTGGGATGAGCTCACGAAGGCCAAGGTCTATTACAGAAATTATCCTGGATGAACACTTCCTTGTACTTGGCTTTGTAGGAGATCTGGATAAATTCTGAGATACAGAATCCGGAGACCTAGATAAGTATTCCTTGTGTCTTAAGCGAAGGGCCTGGACTTCGATTACATCTTATAATGGACCAACGGATGGACACGATTCTAAAATTAAAAGCTGGATCTAGAAATAATATTCCTTGGCATTACAATCTTTTGAGGACGCATAAAACTATCCTCGCACAATATGGTTGTGTGGGTATAAAAATGTAGCTAAACTTTTTGCACTAACTGTATCCAATTGAAAGTCTTACCCATTGCGGAGATTTGATATGAACACTTCGCTCCTAAAGGTATGCTATATAAAATTGTTTTCCGTCAGCTTAACAATTTGTCATTTAATTACTTTATGCAAATAAAACCAGATTTTTATGTTCTGTTCTTTCATAAAAAAAAAATTTAACAAAAGAAGGAGGAACAAAATTATTCTCTTTATTATTGATTTTTATAAAACCCAAATGTCATAAATTTTAATGTTTAATACCCTAACATCCAACACAAGTTATGCCTTTAGCATTTTTATTGTTTATTGAATGCCGTCGAAAATTAGATCTCCAAACGTAAAGGTAGAAATTAAACAAGTCTGGTTGGTGGTGAGCAAGCCGTGGATAGCTATGGCAACATCGCAACAGACGAAAAGTCTAAAAAATCCAATGGATTGGAATATATTAATGATTGGGGGTACATGTGCAAACATAAAATTAAATAAATAAAAAATACATAGCAGAAAAAAGACGAAGGGAAACCCCAAAGTTCCAGTCAAACCAGAATATGCTCTTGGTAGCATCTTAAAAATACATAGGACAGTCTATTTTTATTAGATATTCCATATTTGGATTGATATACATATGTCATGATTCTAGGTATATAAACATCTTGTATTGCTAGATTCGATATCAATTATCGATTGGACTCTTCTGCAAGTAGGAGATCAGCACGCTTACGATGGTTAGTATTTTTGAAGGCGATTATATAAAAATGAAACTCGCTCTAACGTTTGTAATTTTTAAATTGTTCTATTACAGAAACTCTTTATTGCTTTGTTTGCCTTGGTAGCTGTCGCAAGCGCCGATGTCAGCCATTTGGTTAATACCCAATATTTGCCTCCCCAACAAGGTTCTTATTCCGCCCCTGCTGCTACCTACCATGTTGCTGCTTCAGCACCCGCTGTAAGCTATAGCGCTCCTGCCGTAAGCTACAGCGCCCCTGCAACTACCTATCACGCAGCTGCTTCCGCACCTGCTGTAAGCTATAGCGCTCCCGCAGTCACCTATCAATCAGCTCCCGCTGTTTCTTACTCTGCCCCTGCTGTCGCTCAAACCTACTCAGCTCCCGCTGCCACTTATTCCGCTCCAGCTGCCACTTACTCTGTTGCCCAATCAGCTCCAGCTGTTTCATACTCCGCCCCAGCTGTCACTTCATACTCAGCTCCCGCTGTATCCTACAGTGCTCCAGCTGCATCTTATCAAACTTATGAAGCTGCTGCTCCTACTGCTACCTTCTCTGCCAGTGAAGGTTACCGTTACAAGACCAACAAGCGCAGCCGTCGCCATCGTCGTGATGTCAGCACTGAATATTTGCCACCTGTAGCTGCCCAATCTGCCCCAGCTGTCACCTACTCTGCTCCTGCTGCCACCTACTCTGCTCCTGCTGTCACTTACTCTGCTCCAGCTGTCTCCTACTCTGCTCCTGCAGCCACCACCTACTCCGCCCCTGCTGTCTCCTACTCTGCTCCAGCAGCCACCACCTACTCCGCCCCTGCTGTCTCCTACTCCGCCCCAGCTGCCACCACCTACTCCGCCCCTGCTGTCTCCTACTCCGCCCCAGCTGCCACCTACTCCGCTCCAGCTTATGAATCCTATGAATCTGCCGGTTCTGCTCCAGCTCATTCTTACTCTGCAGCTGAAGGTTATCGTTACAAGACGCAACGTCGTCGTGTCGTTAAGACTTCCCGTCGTCACCGTAACTAAACGGAAGATGTTCAGAAAACTTTATTTGAAGTTGTAACAACTCCATTTATAAAAAGTGATATTTAGATATATTCTAAAAACGATAATCAAATAAATAAAAGATTATTTGATCAAAAAAAAAATACTTACTATTGTTTTTTTTTATTAATTTTCATTTGATAGCAGGTCTAAGCAACGATTTATAATGTTTCAGTTTCTTCAAACACATTCAGAAGTCAAGAAGTTATTTTTTTGGAAATTAAAAGTTTATTTTTTATGGAAGGCCAAAAAGTTTTTATATCATTATGGCGTTTTATTATAAAATATAATCATATAGAACACTAAACCTTCTAATATGTAGAATCGGAAAATATCTACTGATAGAAACACAATGCCTTATTGCATCAAATTAAGAAAGCTCCTTACAGTAAAGTCGCAAAACTAAAAGTTGGCTGGCGTCATCTGACATTTCCATTGGACGATCGAGTTTTTTTAGAATAAATAAAAAACGGTTTGACCTAAAGTGGAATCACGGCAAGAGACGAATTCTACATATTTTCTATGACGACTCAAATCGAATTAAGTACAGGTATCTAATTTTGAATTGAGTGTATTTCTTAGTAAGGAATGTTAGCCTTTCTACATTTTCATAATTATAGAATACCCCTTTGAGTTCTGTTATAGTAACTATCCCTTCACATTCAAATTTTACCTTAGGATTTTTTAATACCCTCCACCATACTATGGAGGGTATATTAATTTTGCCATTTCGTCTGTAACTCATCGAAATATTCATTTCCGACCCTATAAAGTATATATATTCTTGATCAGGGTAAAATTCTAAAACGATCTAGCCATGTCCGTCCGTCTGTTGTAATCACGTTATCTTCTGAAGGAATTGAGATAGGGTGCTGAAATTTTGCATAGGTTTGTCTTTCGTCTGAAGGCAGGTCAAGTTCGTAGATGGGATATATCGGTCCACGTCTAGGCATGGCTCCTATACCCCCAAATTTATTTTGGGATTCTTGAGCGTGTTTTTCAACCGAATACGCTGAAATTTGGTACATTGGGTTCTTATTGGGTACTAAATGTCTCCACGAAAAATTATAAATATAGGTTCACTTTTTCTGGTAGTCCCCATATAACGGTACCTCCTAATTTTCAGTATTTTGAGGGTTTTGATCGAATTTTTTCACTGAATTGGCTGTAATTTAGTATTTAGTATTCTTAATAGGTACCAAATCTCTCCACCAAAAATTATAAATATAGGTCCATTTTTTCGGATAGCCCCCCATACAAGGGTACCCCCAATTTTCGGTATTTTGGGGTTCTTGAGCGCGTTTTTCAACCAAATTCGCTGCCATTTGGTATTTTGTAGTCGTATATGGTAACAAATCTCCCTACCAAAAATGTTTAATATACACCCCCTTTTTGTGGTCGTCCCCATATAACCCCCTTTTTATACCCTTCACCACACTGTGTGTGGTACAGGGTATTATGTCTTTGTGCATATGTTTGTAACAGGCAAAAATAATCGAGATAGACCCATGGTTCCTTTTGAGAATATGCATAGAATCACTTTCTGAGTCGATTTATGCATGTCCGTCTGTCCATGTATTTTTGTTAACAAAGTACAGGTCGCATTTATGATCCCATTTGGATGAAATTTGGCACAGGTCATTTAATTGGCCCAAGGAAATTGAATTGAAATTGGAGAAAATCGGTCCACGTTTAGGCATTGCTCCCATATAAGGGTACCCCCAATTTTTCGGTATTTTGAGGTTCTTGAGCGCGTTTTTTAACTGAATTCTTTGAAATGTTGTACATTGGGTTCTTATTGGGTACCAAATTACTCCACAAAAAATTATAAATATAGGTCCAGTTTTTCTGGTAGTCCTAATATAACGGTACCCCCAAATTTTTGGTATTTTGGGGGCTCTGATCGTATTTTTCGACCAAATTGACTGTAATTTAGTACGTCGAGTTCTTATTAGGTAGTTTATCTCTTCACTATCAATTATAAACATTGGTCAATTTTTTCTGGTAGCCCCCCAGGTTTTGAGGTTCTTGAACCAAATTCTTTTTTCTGGTACAGGGTATTATGTCTTTGTGCATATGTTTGTAAGAGACAAAAGGAAACGAGACAGACACATGGCACAGCGAAATTTGGCACAGCGTAACAAATTAGGTCTTGAATGATGTGTGTTAAGTTACCTGAATCCTGAAGATCTGACCAAATGAACAATTTAGTATCGGTAGCTGAATGACCTGTTTATGGTTCCAATTTCATTTTACTGGTCCTTTAAAAATGCGACGTCTGTTAGGATTCATCTGTTGAATATACCCAAAGTGGTGAATGGTATCATATAGTCGGCCCCTTCCGACTTTACTACTTTCCTTACTGGTTTATATTAAAATAGTTATGTTATTGTTCCCGTGTTTGCGTTTGATTCTAAGACTCTGTTCTAATCATTTCATCTGTGGAAGATACGAAAAAAACTAGAACATAAGGTTCGATAATTACCCTCATATATATTCATATGTATGAACTGTAGCCCGCATTTAGCCCTAGCCCCTGTGTGGGAGGTACCAGAAGAAGTGGACCGATATTCTCCATGTTCTAACTTGAACTAATTTTGGAAGAAATAATAAGATGGGATGAAATCTGTCATTATATGTATGGTGGAGGGTATCCAAAGTTCGGCCTGGCCGAACTTAACGCTTTTCCACTTGTTTTTACTGAAACCACATTTATGACCGGTAATATTAAATAAAATTTATAATATAAACTGCATGCAGTAGGGTCGCAACAGGAGTTGACTGGTATCATCAGACATTTCCATTGAAATGGTCCCCTTAATACCACATCATGCACTTTGGCTACAATTTCGGTTCTTGCTGTTGTTTATGGACGTTACGTGGACATCTTTAATGCTTATATGACCACGTTTTTTTACTGTTGCATATGAAGGAGCACATTCGCCTAACACATTCACCATATCATTATGAATTTCTTGTCCCGATAAACCTTTTTTATGTAAATATTTAATGACAGCACGCATTTCTAATTTTTCCATTGTAAAACAAAATGCGAATGAGTCTTTTTTGAACACCTGTTTCTGTATGAAGGAGTTGCCAAATAGAAATCTAAGAAGTTTCCGAACTGCCGTCGTTTTTATGTAGAATTCCCCTTTGGGTTCTGTTATAGCAACTATCCCTTCCATTAAAATTTCACCGTATGTTTATACCCTTCACCACACTGTGGTACAGGGTGTTATGTCTTTGTGCATATGTTTGTAACAGGCAAAAATAATCGAGATAGGCCGACCCATGGTTGCTTTTGAGAATATGCATAGGATCACTTTCTGAGTCGATTTATGCATGTCCGTCTGTCCGTCCGTCCATGTATTTTTGTTAACAAAGTACAGGTCGCATTTATTATCCGAATTGGATGAAATTTGGCATACGTCACTTATTTGTAACAACCCTATTGAAATTGGGAAAAATCGGTTCAGATTTAGATATAGCTCCCATATATATTTTCATCCGATTTAAGGTATATAGTGCACCAAAGTCCCTATATATCTTTTGATTTGCACGAAATTTGGCACAGCGTACTTAATTAAGCCTAGAATGATGTGTGCTAAGTTTCATAAAAATCGGTTCAGATTTATATATAGCGCACATATAAATTTTCGTCCGATTTAAGGTAAATGGTGCACCAATGTCCCTAAATATCTTTCGATTTGCACGAAATTTGGCACAGCGTACTCCCATATATATTTTCGTCCGATTTAAGGAAAATGGTGTACCAAAGTATCTGTATACCTATCGATTTCCACGAAATTTTGTACAGCGTACTGAATAAAGTCTAGAATGATGTGTGTTAAGTTTCGTGAAAATCAAAAATGCGACGCCTGTTAAGATTCATCTGTTGAATTTACCCAAAGCGGTGAAGGGTATCATATAGTCGGCCCCGTCCGACTTTACCACTTTCCTTACTGGTTTTTTTTACAGAAACCACATAAGTCTACGGTATATACATATTGTCACCATAAATAAAACCATTTATAAGTACCTGTCAGCAAAATTGAATCATTGATCGTTTTGTGTCCATAAAAACGAAAACCCTCAACTAAAAATATTTCAATATTTAAAAGTGAATGGAGAACCATGTTATTCAAGAAGAGCATTTCTATCGAGGCCCAGCTTGAATGCCATCAAGAAGAGACATTATGATAATTGTTGAAACACAGCTGGGTAATTGGAGTCGCATGCCCTTGAAGTTACATGTCATTGGACGCCTTCAAATTAAGTTGATTACGCTCAAAATGAAAGATGGGAAAACGCAAAAAATCGGTGTGATATGTTCAACCTATGGGGATCAATTGCGATGATTGTTGTCGATATAACAATTCAGAATTGCGAACCAAAAATTAGTTCAGTTAATATTAGAACACAATAATCTAATACGGAAAACCACTGAACGAAATAAAAATAAATACAAAATGTGTATTATAGTCATCAATTCATGCTAAATAAGTGTATTATTTTATATAGATTAGATTTGAAACAAATCATCGACTATTGTTTGACATTTTATTTAATCTTTTTTATGTGAATTTATACAATAAAAATAAATATTTTAATCAAATAATAAAAAGAATTGAAAGTAAATAAAACAGGTTTTTCGCTAGATGCGAAAGGGAAATTGTTGTTGTCATGCCAAAAATGAAAAAAAAAAAATCTGGCTTCTAAAAATTGGATTTCAGTGAAAGGAAAATTCAGAATAAACAATTGAACTAGATATCATTGTTATCCGAAACAATAGAACTGATAATATTATTAGCGGATTATGTGCTATGCTCTAGCGATCAGCTTCCTATGTGCGAACATAATTGATCTGCTGATTTATGCAAATTTTGTGACGCTGCAAATGGGAATTCATCACTTGAGAATCATCAAAATCAAATCTTTGCTATAAAATAGTGCAGATTTGACGATAGTAGCATCATAACCAACTGTACACTAGCATTTGTAGCAAATAACGGCATCAGCAATGGTGAGTAGGGATTTAAAATTCCCAGAATAGTTATAGATTTAAAAACAATATATTATTTTCATTACAGAAATTGTTCATTATCTTCGCCTTGGTGGCTGCTGCTGCCGCTCAACTCAGCAGTGAATATTTGCCACCCGTGGCTGAAACCAACACTTATGAAATTGCTGCCGCCGAACCCGTAACATCCTACTTGGCCCCTGCTGCTACTTTCCAAAATGTGGAGGTTGCTGCCCCCGCTCACAGCTACTCCAATGCCGAAGGTTATCGTTACAAGACCCAAAAGCGCCGTGTGGTTAAAACTGCCCGTCGTCATCGTCGTGATGTTTCCACTGAATATTTGCCACCTGTAGCTGCCACCACCACTTATGAAGTTGCTGCTGCTGCCCCTTCAACCTACGAAGTTGCCGCTGCTGCCCCATCCACTTCCTACTTGGCCCCTGCTGCCACTTTCCAAAGTGTTGAGGTTGCTGCCCCCGCTCACAGCTACTCCGATGCCGAAGGTTATCGTTACAAGACCCAAAAGCGCCGTGTGGTTAAAACTGCCCGGCGTCATCGTCGTGATGTTTCCACTGAATACTTGCCACCTGTAGCTGCCACCACCACCTATGAAGTTGCTGCTGCTGCCCCTTCAACCTACGAAGTTGCCGCCGCTGCCCCATCCACTTCCTACTTGGCCCCTGCTGCCACTTTCCAAAGTGTTGAGATTGCCGCCCCCGCTCACAGCTACTCCGATGCCGAAGGTTATCGTTACAAGGCCCAAAAGCGTCGTGTTGTCAAAACTGCCCGTCGTCATCGTCGTGATGTCTCCACTGAATATTTGCCACCTGTAGCTGCCACCACCACTTATGAAGTTGCTGCTGCTGTTCCATCTACATCCTACTTGGCTCCAGCTGCCACTTTCCAAAGTGTTGAGGTTGCCGCCCCAGCTCACAGTTTCTCCGATGCCGAGGGTTATCGTTATAAGACCCAACGTAGCCGCGTTCTCCGCCGCCACCGCAATTAAACGTAGAGAATATTGCGAAGTTCGATATTGTTAAAACTTTGTTGTGATTCTCCCTTAAAATGAGGCTTACGTTAAATAAATTTTAAAATTTTATAGAAAATAACGTGTTTCACTTTTGACCGCAAAGAATAACTTCAGATCTAAATTCAATATTACAAGCAATTGGCGTTCAATATCGAGGCCGAAACTTTAAAATCAGACCAATAAAGTTGAAGACAAATAATATACGGATATCGTGCATTTTTTGACATTGAAAATGAATGGAAGCAGAAAAGTGATTTACGAAAGATCTTCCATGAAGCCGTTTTTGTAATTCCCGATGTGACGAATATAGTTCCTTTACTCCATATAGTTCCTTTGATCCATATAGTTCCTTTGATCCATATAGTAAAAAAAAATATTTAAAACAAAAAAACTAATTTAAAACAAGTGAAATAGCGTTAAGTTCGGCCGGGCCGAACTTTGGATACCCTCCGCCATAGATACACTGACAGGTACTTGAAATGAAAATATAGGGAAAATACCAAAAAGTGGACCTATATCGACATTTTCACAAACCGTCTATGTAAACCGCAATGTTAACTATAAAACAAATTTCAGAAATTTTTAAATGGACAATTGAGGGTATAATTGTCCATTAAAAATGTATGGATAATGTATGGCACGGTTAAAATGGTTCTAGACCCATGTTTCTTTGGACCAAATTTGTTCCAGAAAATATTGATTTCATCCAAACTTTAGCCATCTTATTATTTCTTGCAAACTTAGTTCAAGTTCGAAGATGGGAATTATCGGTACACTCCTTCTGGTACCTCCCACACAGGGGCTAGGTCTAAATACGGGTTATAGTTCATATATAGTTCATTATCGAACCTTACGTTCTAGTTTTTTATCTCGATATCCTCCGCAGGTGATATGATTACAACAGAGTCTTAGAACCAAATCCAACACGCGGAACAAATTGCATAACTATTTTAATATAAAAAGGGGGTTATATGGGGACTACCCAAAAAAGGGGGTGCATATTAATAATTTTTTGTAGGGAAAATTGTTACCATATACGACTACAAAATACCAAATTTCAGCGAATTCGGTTGAAAAACGTGCTCAAGAACCTCAAAATAGCGAAAATTGGGGATACCCTTATAGAAAAAACTAGAAAAATTGGACCTATATTTATAATTTTGGTGGAGATATTTGTCACCCAATAAGAACCAAATGTACCAAATTTCAGCGAATTCGGTTGAAAAACGCTTTGAAGAACCCCAAAATACCGACATTTGGGGGGTACCCTTATATTTGGGCCACCAGGAAAAATGGACCTATGTTTATAATTTTTAGTGGAGAGATTTGCTACCCAATAAGAACTCAATGTACTAAATTACATCCAATTCGGTTGAAAACTACGATCAAAACCATCAAAATACTGAAAATTAGAGTGTATCGTTATATGGGGGCTACCAGAAAAAATGGTCCTATATGTGTAATTTTTGGTGGAGAAATTGGGTACCCAATAGCAACTCAATATACCAAATTTCAGCGAATTTGGTTGAAAAACGCGCTGATGAACCCCAAAATACGGAAAATTGGGGGGTACCCTTATATGGGAGCTATGCCTAAACGTGGACTGATATATCCCATCTTCGAACTTGACCTGCCTGCAGACAAAAGACGACTCTATGCAAAATTTTAGACGCTAGAGTGATTACAACAGACGGACAGACGGACATGCTTAGATCGTCGTAGAATTTTACGCTGATCAAGAATATATATACTTTATAGGGTTGGAAATGATTATTTCGATGAGTTACAAACGGAAAAACAAAATTAATATACCCTCCATACTATGGTGGAGGGTATAAAAAGACCTCAAGCTCAAATAATCTCATTACTGGAATAAAAAAAAAATAACTATTTACACAATTCGAAATACGAACGAATGAAGAATATGTGAATAAAGGAACGATATCAGAAAAAGGAACTGTATTAATAAAAGAGCTAGAACTAGTTCCGATCGTTCCTTTCTCGGAATAGTTGCAATGAACTAGTTCGTTCCGGAACTACCCAACTCTAATCAATCCATGCAAGTTATACTCCATGTGCATCATCGCGGGAAGAAGTTTAAGTTCAGCGGTAATGGTGTTGGTATTGATCCGCTCAATGTATTTTTATTTGTTCAAAGGGCATATCCTTATCAATGCCCTATTTAGGGCTGAACGATCCGGCGGTGGTAATGCGCATCTCAAAACTTTAAATAGGGTTTATGTCAAAAAAGGATTTCGTGACTGTCGCATGAATTTACTATTTGACAATTAAAACAATCGCATTTAAATGTTTTATTCCATAGTAAATTATAGGATAAGAATGACTCTATATTTATTTGCATGGTTTGTGATCACAAAAGCATTTAGTTCGTTCTATTTTAATGATATCAAAAAATAACTTAACTTTTTGACTGATTTATTCTTGGCTGCTGATACAGTCCACTTGATGGTATCCTATATACAACATGTGATGGCGACATTTGATGATAAATTGGATGATGGAAAATTAATGTTGGACTTGGGGCTCCATTGTTGATATATTTTACTGGAAGTACAGATGGATGTTGGAATATAGTTGCCGGCCCATATGTGTTGTAATTAAATTGTTGTGAAGGAATTCCATGAATGTAGTGTTGGGTATTGGATAGAATAACAGCTGCATTTGAAGGTGTGCCAATATAGTTTGAAATAACGCCGAATGGTTGTGACGCTGCATATCCTCCTGGAGAATTTGTGTTGACTACAATTTGAGCAGGCTGATTTGGAACGAAATGTGGTTGAATATAATCTACACCATTGCCTGCAACAAAGGGTGTTATTACAGCATTTCTATTAGAAATATCAACGAGATTAATTGGTTCCCCAGTTGAGTAGGGCATTGATGGTGCATATACTGTTGACGCATACTGGAGACCAACTAGGGCATTATATTGCAATGGAGAAATCAAAGGATGTTGAGATATAATTTGATTGTTTGGAATTGGTATGCCATATCTAATGTGAAGTAAATTTACAGCTGCAGGTGTGTTGATAGCAGTTGGTGTTAAAATTTGTGGATTGGTATGAATTACTGGATTAACACCATTTCCTTGTGATAGATGTGGTACATATGATATGTAGTTAGGTATATTATTTCCTATTGCGATTTCATTTGGATTATTTTCAACAACTGAATACCATGCTAAGTAAGCAGTCACAATTCTCTGTAAAAGCCTAAAGAGAAAGAAAAACTAACAAATAATTATATAAATAATTATTTTAATTTATTTATTATAGAGAATACTAACCATTCTAAATTATCAAAGCAGCCACAGCCTGCATTGAAATTTAATTATATAATTTATACTTTATAGTTCACAAAACTATTTGTACTGAATTGATTTGACTTATTGATGAGACCTTATGTTTGCTGTACACACACGAAAACATATTTCACATTCGTGCGATTGAAGGCAAAATCCTGTTTTTCAACATTTTCTCGTGTATCGTTCAAATATATGCTTTTCTATTGCGACGGATTATAATTCATTCAAGTTTAATGAAATATTTCAAAAAATCAAGTTTGCAAATAGTTTCAAACGCTTCACTGCACCTATCGGCAGAACTAAAGATCAATGCAAAATTGATTAGTTAGTCATCATCTTTAAAATGGGTTCGTATAAGTTTGATATCCGTCGGATCAAAAGCAGCAAGGAAAGTTTAAAAGTTGGACGGGGCCGACTATATGATACCCTTCACCACTTTGGATATATACAAGAGATGCTCATATGTACAATATCCTTTAGATAGAATTAACATAGCATCTTTCGAGGATCATTGAAATGGAATAGGAAGAAATTAACTGCGTGGAGTTCACAGATATTTTAACTAAATTAAAACAATCCATAAACATACCAATCTGAAATTTATGAAAAATTGAGTGTCAATCATCGAACAAAATATGTATAAGATCGTTATTTGAATTTTGCCTTGTAAGGGCAGTCATTTGAAAGTAATTTTTTAAGTGATTGATGATCTAAGTTTTGCAATAAAAAGGAAAGCCAGGAGAAGAACCTACGTACCCACCATTATGCGACGCGTTTCGCCGTTGGTTAAGCGTCTCATCAGGCATATTGGGCTATGTGGCTTTACAGAGGTCGTATGTTGATAACTTGTATTTTTTCCTCCCTGATGAGAAACTTGCATATGCGAATTAAATTCAAATTTTGTCAAAGTTCGACATTTGTCTTCATTCTAGGAACAGTACTTTTCAAAGCTGATTTTTGTTGTAGCGATGGATAAATTATCAAAACAATTTCTTCCATGGTATACACATGTTTTTTGCGCAACCGTTTTGGAAGTGTGTTGATGGCTCACACATGGTTTTTGTGTTGCTCCGAGGACCGTTTTGGAAATTAATTTTTGTTATTTGAATTTTCCCTTTTAAGGGCAGTGATCATTTGAAAGTAATTTTTTAAGTGATTATTTATAGTCTTTCGAGTTGATGATCTAAGTTTTGCAATGAAAAGGAAAGCCAGATCTATATATAAAAGGACGTATTTGAGCAATCCAAAATATATCTCGACACAAAATCCAACACACGTTGATCTACGTTGTGCACTAATTCGTCCTAAGCAGACAAACTTTAGTTACTTGGTACATCGTTTTGATGAAATCGGATGAAGTTATATGTGGAAGCTACATCTACACCTGAAACGTCTTCAATCCAATACACAATTGGTCTGTTCCCGTATTGCAAGAATCTGCTACTTTTTACTACGATAACACCTTTTTCCTTTATGATATCGAAGAAAATAGTAAAATCATAAAATCGGGAACAAAAATATATGTAAAGTGAACAGACATAGGATCTTCAATTTGCACCATTTACATAAATCGGACAAAAATATATGAGGGAGCTGAACTGATTTTAACAACAAAATATCGTGCAAATGGTGCACCATAGATCCTGGTGCA